GGATGTGCGAGAAGTAGGCGAGGACAACCATACCGTGGCGGCGGTTAATGGCGTCAGATTAAAGTAAAACGCTGCAAAGCAAAGCAAGAGCTGCTCTTGCAAAATCACCAAGTTCTTCATTTTTGTACTCCTCTCGCTCGCCGAATTCTCGCCACGTTCAATCCTAATTAAAGTTTCCTTTCTATTTTACAAATAATACAAATACAACGAACTATCCACTGAGATATTATATACACAAATTTTCTCCTTGGCTCATCTCCAAAATCATCCATAAAAGACGCGCGGACATCGCTCTCATCGTTTACGAAAGATCGAAAATACCTATTCGTGATCCAGCGTAATTCGCGAATTTCAAAAACGCTCTTTCCTCCTCGAAACTGACACGATCGCGTTGCGAAATGACACAGTCACATCCGTGACCGATTGTGTGTCTGTAGCTCACGGCAAGCTGTCGCGCCGACGTTAAGAAAGAAACCGCGCGTACGCGTGGAAATGTCAGGAATTCGCTCTGTGTAGGCATCGATGCATCGTCGAGCCTGTTACAAAATGGACCGGAAACGGTTATTGGTAACAACGTAGTCGGCGCGCGAGATAACGAGAAGCTCGGTCAACTAGCTAGGGGCGAAACCGCGGGCAAAAACGGAGGTGGTTGGTCGTCTGGAGGCTGGAAATCCAGAGAACAAGTTCTGGCCCGTGAGATGGTTAATTGCCACGACTCTCCGAGTCCTCTCGATCCACGATCGTCTCTGTCGTCCTCGTGAATCGTGAATCGGCGCAAGCGGCGATCACGCTGGAAAAAGGGAAACGAGAGTGCTCTGAGTGCTCGCTCCGAACCGTACGATTCCCGGAGGCTCGTTACTGAATCACGATTGTCAATGAAGAAATCCACAGGCTGAAGAGCAACCGCGATGGAAATCCGTGGAATGTCGTTCTCCTCTATTTCTTTGGGCTGGCAAACCTCGAGAGATCCCCTCGTGCACAAACGATACCATACTTTCGAACCGGGGGAATTTCAACCGGGGCAGAATCGATGACGAGCTCGTGAGAAGCGTACGCCGTTTTTGTTCTCACAAGTCGTTCGGCTCGCTCTTGTTTTCCACCGCGCGAATTCGCCATTCCGTCGGAGCTCTCCGCCCATCCCTCTTTACCCCACTGGATGATACATTGTTGCATTCTCAATCTTCATGATTTAAAATGCTGATACACTCCCCCTTCAACCCCTACCTGGATCCCAACTTGGTTGGTTTCTTCTCAGGACTCAGGACAACGATCGATTTCA